ACTCATAAATTTTGAAAATCGTATAATTACTTGTGGGTTATAGGCGTATAGCTGATGGAAACCGTGATCTATGAAATAAGCATAATTCACTGCTATTAGGTAGAAACGAACGAAATTTGGCAAAAATCGTGAGTTATAGCTCATGAAAATTGCGAATTTGAAAGTACTTTTAATTTACTATCATTAGGGTTAAACGAACGATTATGGTCAAAATCCATGGGTTATGGCCCATGAAAGTTTTGAAATTTGAAATACACGTGATTATTGTCATTAGGCAAAAATAGGGGAAAAAAAGAACAAAAGTCATTGGTTATTGCCCATATAAGTTGTGAATTTGAAGTACATGTAGTCATGTACACATTTTCCATTAGGTCGAAATGAATCAAAAGGGACAAAAATCGTAGTCTATAACTCAAGAAAATCGCGAATTTGTTAAGCATAATTAATTTGCCGTAGATCAAAAAAATAAAAATGAACTAAAACAATGGGTTATGGCCTATGAAAATATCATGAATTTGAAATAGGCATAATTAATTGTCCTTGAGTCGAAAAAAACAAAAATTGACATAAATTGTGGGTTATGCTCATGAAATTAATGAAGTTTGAGATATGCATTATTGATTGCTATTGGTTAATAATGAAAATGGGCATAACTTCTAGGTTATAGCTTGTGAAAATCATTAATTATTGAGGTACATATAATTCATTGTTATTGGGTAAGAGCAAATGAAAATTGACAAAAAATTGTGGGTTATATATAGCTTATGAAAATCATGGATTTCAAATTTCTTATAATTCACTGCCATTAGGTAGAAACAAACGAAATTAAGCAAAAATCGTGAGTTATAGTTCATGAAAATGCGAATTTGAAATTTGAAAGTACTTTTAATTTACTGTCATTAGGGTTAAATGAACGATTATGGTCAAAATCCACGGGTTATAGCTCATGAAAGTTTTGAAATTTGAAATACACGTGATTATTTTTAATAAGCAAAAATAGGGGAAAAAGAACAAAAATCAACTGTTATCGCCCATATAAGTTGTGAATTTGAAGTACATGTACACATTTTCCATTAGGTCGAAATGAATCAAAAGGGACAAAAATCGTGATCTATAACTCAAGAAAATAGCAAATTTGTTAAGCATAATTAATTTGCAGTAGATAAAAAAAATAAAAATAAACCAAAACAATGGGTTATAGCCCATGAAAATATCGTAAATTTGAAATAGGCATAATTAATTGTCCTTGAGTCGAAAAAATAAAAATTAACATAAATTGTGGGTTATAGCTCATAAAATTAATGAAATTTGAGATATGCATAATTGATTGCTATTGGTTAATAATGAAAATGGGCATAACTTTTAGGTTATAGCTTGTGAAAATCATTAATATTGAGGTACGTATAGTTCATTGTTATTGGGTAAGAGCGAATGAAAATTGACAAAAAATTGTGGGTTATATATAGCTTATGAAAATCACGGATTTCAAATTACTTATAATTTATCGTTATTGGGTCCAAGTGAACGAAAAGGGGCAAAATATGGGGTTATAACCCATGGAAATTATGAAATTTGAAATATGCTGAATTATTTTTATGGGGCCGAAATAGGCAATAATGGACGAAAATCGTGGATTATAGCCCATGAAAGTTGTAAATTGTGATGTACGCTTAATTGCTATTGGGTTAAAAAGAACGAAAATGAAGAAATCATGAATTTTGAAGTACACTAATTGTTTTTCATTAGGTTGAAATGAATGAAATGAACAAACATTGTAATTCATAACCCAAGAAAATTGTGATTTTTTGAAGAATGCATAATTAATTTCCATTAGATCGAAAAAACGTAAATGAACTAACAGTGTGGATTATAGCCCATGAGAATCAAAAAAATTAAATTCACAAAGTTAATTACAGTAGGGCCAAAACAAACAAAAATTGCGAATTTCAAAATAGGCACAACTAATTTGCCATTAGGTTAGGTTATGGTTGGCGTTACGATTTTGGTTAGGGTTAGAGTTCAGCTGAGGGTTTGGAGTTAAGAGTTAGGTTTAGCTTAGTGTTAGAATTAATTTCCAATATATATAAAAAGAATTAAAATCATGGATTAGTCCATGAAATTGTTGATTTTTAAGAATGCATAAGTAAATGAGATTTGGTAGAACAAACAAAAATGAAAAATTTGTGGGTTGTAGCCCATGAAAATTGTGAATTTTGACCTCTGCCTGATTATTGTCATTGGGTTGGAAAAAAATTATGGGTCATAGCCTAAGAAAAATTATGAATATTGAAATATGTATAATTAATTTATTGGGTCAAAATGAACAAAAATCGTGGGCAGTCCACGAATATTGTAAATTCTAAAGTACATGTAATTAATTACTATTGGGTCGAAATGAAGGAAAACTAACAATATTTTGTGAATTTTGAAGTATGGATAGTTTATTGCTATTATGTTGAAAAGAACGGAAATAGACAAAAATTGTTGGTTGCGGATGAATATTGTAAATTTTGAAGTACGCATAATTTGTTGCCGTTAGGCTGAAATGAGAAAAAATTGATAAAAATCGTGGATTATACCTCATGAAAATCGTCAACTTTGATGTATGCATAATTTGTTGATATTGGGTCGAATGATAAAAATGGAGAAGAATCATGAGCCATAGCCCATGAAAATTGTGAAATTTGATATACCCTTAATTATTATTATTGGTTGAAATAAGGAAAACAAAAAAAAATCATGGATTGTATCTCGAGAAATTTGTGAATTTTAATCCATGCATAGTTAATTGCCATTGGATGAAAACAAACAAATTTTAGAGAGTTATAGTCCATGAAAATCGTGATATTTAAGTACGCATAATTAATTACATTGTGTTGGAATAAACAAAAATTGACAAATATCTTGAGGTCACAGTTCATCAAAATCGTGAATTTTGAAGTTCGTATAATTAATTGTCATTGAGTAGAAAAGAATAAAAATTGACAAAAACTGAGTCATAGCCTATTGAAATAGTGAATTTTGAAATGAGTTTTTATATGGAATCACATTTAAAATAGGGGTGTAATACAGGAACTACATTTCTTGTTTATTTATACAGGAACTACATTTAAAGTATATTTTGTTTCAATCAACCGCCAAAAATCATTTCTCTTTCACTTTTTTTTCCAAATTCCTATAATTCCCCTCTTTTCACACACTCCTTTCTAGGACTTGCAGATCTCGACGGGTGGCGCAGGCAGGGGTGTTGCAGTTGCCCACGACGGATCCAGTCAGGTTCATGGCGAGATTGGGGCCGACTGGAGAGAGAGAGAGAGAGAGAGAGAGAGAGAGAGAGAGAGAGAGAGAGAGAGAGAGAGAGAGAG